AATCCATGATCGATTTTTTTGAAAATTTGTTTTTTTTTTTTAAATTCCATATTATTCAAAGAGAAAATGAGAGAGATGATGATTCTGAGGCCACCCTATCCCAGCCATATTATTCACATATCGAATCCCAACAGCAACAGTGTAGGGATGAGCACGACAGTGCAGGTGAGCATGAAGGATAGACAATCTTCGGGGATTTTAGATTGGGAACACAACAAAACACTAACACTCAAGGATTTGGGAACAGTCAGACGCCTGCTAATATCGATGATTCGTTTTTAGATCGAATCAATGAATTGTTAAACGAATTCAATCAATGGCACCAGCGTGACCAAGAAGAACAATAACGTTGTCTATCATTTTATTTTTAGATCATATGTTACTAATTTTATGTTTTATTGTAGTCCATGTATGTTGATATACTTATTCCATGATAATTATATGTTTTATCCTTTTGTGTGATGTAAATTAAATGCTGAATGGCGGTTCATGCCGGGAAAGAACATATCAATATTCGCATATTCATTCAAAAACATGAAAATTCTTAATGGAGTACCCTCATTTCTTATTGAATTCCTAAAAAACAATATTTATAATGAATTTTAATAATTTTTTCGAATTTTTTTTAAGCTTTATTATGACCGATTCACCAGATTCCCGATCCGGATCGCCGATTCGTCGATCCTGATCGGTTTTTTAGAAGCCCAATCCGGGTCACCGATCCGTTTTTTAAACCATTGGATAGAATAGTAGATAAACGGATTCAAAACAAATGAACATAATAATTTTTAGATTTAGTTAAGATTAAGCATTTAATGACATTAGCGGGAATCTTTTTCTTATTATTATTACTATTATTAATCCCAAAATGGATCCATCCCACTTGCTATTCAAGTGAGAAGACGACAACTTTGGCCACAAACTCTTTAATGTTATTATCCGAACTGCCCCCTTCGGCCACGGCCTCTAAAGCCAAATCTCTCCACCTCTGTGCATTCCTCCTCAGCTCAGCGCCCCTCTCACCCTCCATCACCTCCCTTATGCACCTCTTCAGTTCTCCTCTCCGAACCACTTCCTGCTCGTCGGCCTCAGCGCGCACGCCCATCTTCCAAACATCGGAGATGAACTTCGAGTTCGTCGGCTGGTCGCTCCGCAGTGGAATCGCAACCATGGGTACCCCTTGAGTTAGCCCCTCCAGTGTCGAGTTCCATCCGCAATGGGTCACAAAACATCCGACGGCTCTGTGTGCAAGGACATCGAGCTGTGGGCACCAGGGCACCACGAGCCCTTGCTCGGATGTGGCGTCTATGAATCCCTCGGGCAGTGAATTTCCACCTTTTTGGTGTGCAGATGGGGGCCTCACCACCCACAGGAACGGCCACTTGATCGAATGCAAGGTGCCGGCTATCTCCTCCATTTTCTCTGCGGAAAGAACCGCCACGCTTCCGAATGAGACATACACCACAGATCCAACAGGCCTCTTGTCTAGCCAATGGAGACAATCAATGAGCTTCCCTTGTTCATCACTTGTCTTTGTTACTCTTGGAGTTCTACTACCTAAGTAGACCGAGGGGAGCGACGGCCCGATCATCTTCAAAGACCATGGTTCTGCCATCTCCTTCCTCAATTCTGCCTCCAAACTGTCAAACGAGTTCACAAGCACATAATCTGCTCGGTCTATGTTCTTGAACTGGCCCGGCAACATTTCAAGAACGAAACCATAGCCTTCAGGTTGGGCGATGAACGACGGTAGATCTCGTAAGCCCAACAGTGGCATCCCTGGGATCGCGACACGCCCATTAAGCTCTTTCGGCATGACAGGAAGGCCACGGCGGTAGCGATTGTATATGGAGCACACTGCACAAGACTGAGTGAGGAAGGATACCCCGAGCATACCATGGTCATGGGCAACATCTAAGGCCCAGGGAAGAAACGAGTCATAGATGAGGGAGACGGGTCGCTCACCCTCTAAGGTCAGCCGATCAATGAACTCGCCCACTGCCCGTGAGCCAACACTCCTACGATTGGAATAGTAGGCCTCGCGATCGTGATCTGGCGGCAAGCCACTGTCGTGGCCATCGGAAAAGAACTCGAGGTTGGTGGAGGCGACGGCAGAGGGGTCTGCCTTGCAAAATTCGTCTTTGCATCGGGTCGGAGCCACGATTGTAGCCCGGAGGCCGTTGCTAGCAAGGCGACCAGCAAATTGGAGCAATGGGTTTATGTGGCCTTGTGTTGGATAGGTAAGAAGTAGAACATGAACACTCTTGTCCTTCTCCATACTCTATACTTATTTGGTTGTGGTGCACGAGAGAAGATGAGGGACCAATTTATGGACCACATAGTCCACCCCATCTTAGCTCATAATAAAATGCTAATCATGTTGCTTGTGCTCCACTCCAAATCTCTTGTCCTTCTCCTTCATTTTTGACTGGCTGTTGCTTGTGCTCCACTCCAAATCTCTTGTCCTTCTCCTTCATTTTTGACTGGCTGTTGCTTGTGCTCCACTCCAAATCTCTTGTCCTTCTCCTTCATTTTTTTGACGGGTTGTTGTTGTTGTTGTGAAATAGAAGCAAATTGGTCCAAGTTTTGTTGTCTTATTTGACTGGAAACTATTACAATTTGGTTGGTGCTCCACTCCAAATCTCTCTCTCCAATGCATTTTTAGACTTTCTTGTTAGGGCTTTATACCTACGGAAAACTTTCGTTTGTTTTTATTATCATTGGATGTTATTTTTTCTAAAAATTACAAGGATCCCACCCCCAAGATTTTTTTATTTTTTTTATTTTTTTTTTTATTATTTTTTAAGTTGCCTTCATATCTCGCAATGATAATACTAGAGAGGTAGTAAACCTCACACTCTCAATAAAGGCATAGTGGTTAAATTAAAAAAGGAGACATACTCTTGAGTAAGTATAGTATAAGTTTACTCCATCTGTAAAAAGACCTACTTAGGAGGATTTTTTTAAAGAAAATTTGTTTCATGCAGTCTGGACTACATTTCTTCATATGCAGTCCAGAAAGTGTCAAGCATCCTAATGCGGTTCAAAAAGTATAAAACATCCATCTTAAAGATAGATACAAATAGGTGCACCATCTAAAAACAATAAAAACTAACGTCCAAATATTTCTGACTAAA